TGGATTTTAAGGGATAATTAATTCCCTTATTTTTAAATATATGAATTTTTTAAATTAATTCAAATTTAAAAATCTGATTTTATTCTGCCAGAATGATAGAATTCCAGTTTATATATTTTTGATAATTAACCTAATATTTTTTATTTTATTATTGTAGAATATGGTTTCATGTTTAAAGAATTATACAACATATTATCAAGAATAATATTTTCTAAAGAGTACGTATTTTATTTTCCATATTAATGGCAGCAATTTCAAAACCTAAATCCAAAAAGAAAACATAATCAACTTTAAAATCTTAAAACTTTCACTATATTCTAAAATAATAAAACTATAAATTCTAATAGAATGTGTTAGACATTAAAGACTTTTAATTTATTCTAACATAATGTAATACTTGAGTTACTTGATCAAGTATTCCCCGAAATAATCGACTTAATCTAATTACAATAATTCTAGAGCCTACATTGTAGCTAACACAGAGGACAATGCTCTGGAAAAAGGTCAGCTTATTACAAGCTAGAATGTGGTAAATATGACAGTTCAAAGATCACAAAAATTTCTGAACAAAGTAAAAGTGCTAAAATACATCTGTAACATCCCATGTTCGAAGGACTATCACTCAGCCAATATTAATCCAATTAAAATAACTTCGGAATCTAACTTGTAGCTAACACAAAGGAAAATATGCAGAAAAAAATTTAGATCAATCCAAGTTAGTATGAGAGAGATATGATAGTTCAAAGATTACAAAAAAAATTGGCTGAAATATTTGATTCAAGCATTTTAACAAACATTTGGCGGGCAAAATCAGATGCTGAGATCTTTATACTCCATTTGATGAAACATACAACATATGTAATTAATAAATACATGAATGTGACTAAATTTACAATAAAATAGTGTATACCTTCAAATACTAACAAGTGATTTGAGATTCCATGTCATAAAATCGAGATTCCATTATGACAGAATTAGATCTTGATCTTCCATTCCGACATAATTGCTGTCAGATACGCTCATAATCAAAATTTTATGGTAATTACCCTATCGAGACCGCTGCTCTGTACACAAAAATTATACTTTTAATTTTTCGAAGTTCTTGTTGGAGCAAAAGCTGTCAGATTTCTTGTTGGAGATAAGTTAAAAAATTAAATATTATTAACTATTTTTTCATTGAGACAATTTATCGAACACATGGAGTCCATGACAGAATCATATCAAACATATCAGAAAAAACGAGATTTACTTCGATCGCAGAAATATGTGAAGTCAAAGAAGGATAAAATAGAGATATATGAAGTCAAAGAAGGAGAATATAACGAATCTGATGAATCTAAACTTCCGATTGTGAACTTGATTGCGACCAGCTAAGAAAAACACCTCTAAAAATCGAAGATTTGACATTAAAAGCCATCTAGAAAAGTGTTCAAGGAAGTGCTGGACTATATTTCACGATCGGTTGTGTTGGCAGCTGTACGATAATAGGAACAAGAGTGAAGGAGAGATGGAGGACCGGTGACGATGAGGGTTACTGGGACGAGTGAAGTTATGCCCGACTCTTTTGATTTCTTTTTCTTTTGTAGGCGAAGAAGAACAACTATCGTAAGATAAAAGAGAGAGATTAGGCCAAACCTATTTATTTTGTTTCTTTAATTGCAAGGATTTTTTTAAATGATCCCATTAATTAAAAGTGCAAAAAACCAGAAATACCTTTTTTGATTTAATTAATTATTTAATTATTTGCTAATTTCTGATTGGTGCATTCAGGAAC